TGAGAATTTGGAACGATGTTCGAGGATAGTGAACTAACCGTTCGTCATGGATTTCTCAACGTTTGTGGCAGTTTCAGGTAGAGCATCGAGGGCTTCAGCAGAAGCGCTGGCTTTGACGTTATCAGAATTTCGATGAACTCGAGCAGCTTGCATCAAGGAAGCCGTATCTAAGAGACAATATATACTACATAGACAGAGCATTCGCCTAAAAAGTTATTTAGGTCAGAGACTGTATCTGTGTCATTCTCTTTGAACATACAATTAAAAAACAGCAAAAGTATGAGGGGAGAACACTTTTATTACCAGTCGCAGCAATATTCAAGTCACTGAGCCACAAAATCCATGTTTTTAACTCCTCAACTTGCATTGGTATAAGAACGTTAAAAATTCACCTGCACCGGGATCTTCCTCAAAAGGACTTGATGTTCTCTGTGAGCGTTCCAAAGACTTATCTCGAGCAGATGAGCAAGGTGTGCGAGACTTTGGAGATTTCATTTCAACCTGTAACATAAGTAAACCCACTTTGAAAGTTAGCTAATTCAAATTATGATTCCAGAATGAACAAATGTGTGTTATGAGCACTTAAACTATATCACAATCAAACGATGAAGTCCACAGCTTATTGAATTATGTTAGAACCCAACCTCTTCCATGTATTTCTTGATGTCTTCGTCGGTTTCGCACGCAAATGGATTGGGGGCATAGAGCTGACGGTAAACCTACATAGTACATTTTATGTAAAGAAAAGAAATTGAAAACAAATTAATATGCAGGGTCCCCTGGATTGTGTATGTCAACACATATGGCGTTATCCATATAATTATAGAGATAAAGAGAATACAAAATTTAAATACGGCATGATGAGAAGGAAAGAGCGTTGAAGAATGAAGATGCAAAACTTTACCTGAGCATTGTGCTGATGTTGCCTATCAATAATGCCTTTGCTGGCAGTACCAATAAGAACAGTTCGGTCTGTTTGGCCAACAATACCGTCGACATCAGGCTGAAAGTTACATCAAATGATGGAAAAGAGTGGACGTTTTCATCAAGCCTACCCGCATTCTTGCGATTTCCTCGTATGTGACTCCATCAAGAATTTGACTTTGAGGGCCAGCGGTTGTGGTGCCCAACCGCCCACTTTCCTGGAATAATTCTACAACTATTTTTCACAATTTTCTTACTCCTTAAAGCAATTTTTACCTTGATAGCCCGTTGTTTATCTTTGAACTCTTTTGGATTGCTCGACATAGGACTAAAGTGATGAGGCATGCTGATTTTGACAGGAGTTCCACTAGCTGATGGAGATGTAGCATCTTGCACCCACTCCAAACAAATCACACGAATTAAGCTAACAAACGAAGAATAAATTGTAGTCACCTTCGTGATCTTCTTGGGGTTATCCGTGCCAGTTTCAAGAATTTCTACCTTCTGATACGCGTTAGGGCTGTTAAGCCAGCGACTCCTTTCTTGCTCTTTTCTAAGGAGAGCTAGCTTGTGGGCAGCAACCGCTTCTGCATCCGTTTCATCCAACTAAATTTGTAAGAATATCGCGTAGATTAAAATAAGCAAAATCTTGATTAGCGAAACAACTTGCAGGAATAAGCAAATAGATGTAAAATGCGCAAAGACATTAATTTTGAGAATTTTGTGGAATATATTTCATAAAACTGTAGGATACAAACAGCATTTTGGTGAGAGAATGAGCCCTCACCTAGCAACCAAATTAAGTCCAAATAACAAATGACATTACTTTAAAAAAACAAATGCACCCTAAAAGTCTTCTGCCATGAAAACTCCTGCGGAAAGCCACTCCAAACCAGAAGAAAAATTCAGAGTTGAAAACTAATGAGAAATTAGCTAAACAAGGAGATAAGAACTAAGAAGCGAGCAAATCAATAGATTAATGTTCCAAAAAACAAAAGAAAACTCACCAGTCCTATGGCAGAAGCGCTCGGAGGGACTGCGACGTCGTTATTATTCACCGTAGAATGTGAAATCGCAGATTTAGGTCTCAATGAAGGCTGGCGATAGATATGACCCGTGCGAAAACCCTCAAAAGGAAAGACGAGCATTTATGATGTTGTGAGTGAGAAACACATGTCTGGCAATTAAACTAGAGCAAAAGAGTAGTAAAGAACGTACGGCATGGTCCAAAACCCGCATCCAGGCCTCCCATTCCAACTCGCCAACCCGCCAGTTGACAACATTTCCTGTCTGGTCCTTTACAGGTGAACGGCTTGTTGGACCACCTAAAAATTGAAACAGTACTTGGTGATAGCAAAATTTGAATCGTTTTGTTTGCGAGCAGCACCTACACGTCCTACAAAATTGCACATTTGAGATCATCAACGTTCATCAACAGTAAAGTAATAGTAATAAAAGAGTAAGGCAAGTAATGACTAGTTCCGGCTTTTATGCAATCCATCAATTTCTAAGTCCCTTCAACTTGCAGATCTGTTTACGCTCGGACTTTCTTATATAAGGCTACGCGTAAAAATTATCCTTTCGAAAAACAAGCATCGACGAAAGAAATGGCCCATGAATGGTTTATGTACACTGAGGGTCATAAAAACAGTTAGCGAGAACTCATTCTCTAACAGTTTACTT